CCGCCTCCACTTCGCAGCCTTTCTCCAGCACGACGCCCCATGCAGGGTTAGAGAAACCCTCATCGCCTTCACCACCACCAACACCTCATACAGAGACTCCACCTCCCAGCATGCAAATCAGCCCAGCTCCCACCCCCACCCCTCTTCCAGAGCTGCGATCCCTGGTCCCCCATCACCTGCTCTCCTCCAACCACCAGGAGAGGAGCACAGCCATGATTTCTTCAGACCACATGAAGCTTGCCAAGTCCCTCCACCTCTCTGAGGAGGCGGTGTACGGGCCGTATGTGGAGAATGGGATGTCAGGGGAAATGGGCAGAGATCCGATGGGGAGACCCTACCTTCCTCCCACAGATAATCACTGCGGCTCCCTCACTTCCTCCAGCCGGCCCATCAGTGGGTCGTACAGGTCCACTGAGGGCCAGTTTACCTCCAGTGTCACTCTGTGGGGCCTGGCAATGAAGACTCTGCAGAACGATAATGACATGGAGCAGTAGAATATTGCACCTTATGAGATATTTCATGAGCATAGCCAGTTCGCAGGGTGTGCAATCCTCACCAATGTTTTGATAAGCTTATATTGTCATCACATTTGTACTACTTGTAAAACACAAATGGTAGCTAAGCAGACGTTAAAGAATATTGAAATAGTTAACTTGTGTTTTGTGTAGATTGTTCCGATTATGCAATAAAAAAAATGCTTCCAATTTTTTTAATCCTGAATCTAAAAAACAAATTAGAACTGCTGCTGTGCTGCTCTTTAAACATCCAAGGTGCACACCTATATGTTCTGACCACACTCAAATCAGTGATGTCACAACAGGTGTCCTCCATCACACTTCAACATGTCTATCAGAACAGCATCAGTATATCGCCCTGTTAACTGTTAACATCCCAGCAAGCATCTCAGCTAATAAAAGTGTCAGTGAAACTCTCACTTTTTATATACTGCAATGCACTTTCAAATGTACAAATGCAGACACATTTTTTGTCTTTCTTTCTTGAAACAGTAAACGGGAAAACGACTGCGATGCTTTTTTATTTCACAAACCTTAAAGGACATTTGTATCAAAACTCCCTCTCTTGAAGGTGAAGGCAGCAAAAGTTATTGATGGCCATACGTCAATCCACTCTAAATATGTCTAGTATCAATATCAGTGATGCCATGCTGTATATTTTCATGAGCTCAGATGGATTTAGAGAGGGTTTTTGTTTCGAATGCCCCGCCCCTTTCACTAAAGATAATTTGGTTTGGTTCATAAAAAAAAGGGCAAGAACAGACATTCGAGTTTTTTTTTCTTTCTGGGATCCTAGTTTATTCCAAGGCTGCGTATCTGGGTAGATATGGAGGACAGAATATGACATAAGTAACAAATAAATAAATACAGGAATTAAAAAATATACAAGAAAAAAAAAAAAGTTGAGACTAAAACAGAACACGCATTATATTGAATGAATTTCTACATTTATTTTCCCCAATATAAATGTATTTATTACTTCATTTTCACAATGTTGTTCTGCTTGGTAGCCTTGTATTCTGTGGATACAACAACATTTATAACAAATGTACTTTCAATTGCTCTGAACGTTCAACAAGTGCACGTGTCTTTAACAATATCTTTGAGTTGCTGTAAGATTTTCTTTTACTTCCTCTGACCAGTCACACTTTCATTTGGGAGCTATGTGTCAAGTTGTGCACAAAGTGGCTCTTCTGTCTTCAATAAATATTTTAAAAGCTTACAGCACCGGGAATTTCCGGCATATTCATGTTCTGTATAAACTGTAAAGCCCCCTGAGACAAAAGTACAATTTGTGATATTGGGCTGATTAAATAAACTTTGATTTACTTGTATTGATGTATGTGGCGCAAGAAGTACACTTCTCTCCAGAGCCCTCAAGAGCCAGATATAAATGTTTATTAGTGGTGTTGCTACTACCTAAAACTCAGTGACAGGGGTTTAAGGGATGGGATTTCTAACAGGTTTGAGATTTTGAAGCTCTTCTCCACTATAGCAGTGAGATAACACACACATTTAACAAGCGGCAAACTACACACTGGGATAAATCAACATGATGACTGCACGTCTGGGATTGAACCCACCACCTTCTGACTCAAAGACAACAACTCTTCCTCTCAGCCACAGGCAAATTATGGACTTTAAAATGAGATAACCGTTTTGAATGGAAGTTTTCTTTAAATGGGAAAAAAAACAGAAGTTTGGTAAAGTTGGAAAGGTACCGAGGCTTAATTCCATTGTTTCTAAAGGACATATTAAAGAAACCTGACTCCAGATGCCCTGGTAGGCTTTTGTTTTCTGAACAATGTAAGTGAACGCTGTTGTGGATATTTTAGACTCGTCAATACTGTAAAGATGTACAATGAGAGTAATCAATAATAAACTGGTGAAAGCAAGCAGCGTTGTCTTGTTGGTTATTTATTTGAAGCTTCAAAGGCACAGGTCTCACAGAGTATAGGATAGTCTGCATGAGTGTGCGCAATAGTCACAAAATAGCAAAGCTTATATACAAGATAGGGCGGGAAGACAGAGTTTTGTGTAGCATGGCGGAACGCCTCAGAAATCTGCTTTCACACGGATGTCTCATATCGCTATTAGACACATGTGTCCTTGAGCTGTAGAAAGTATAACAGTTATCAGAATATGGAAGTTCAAACTTAGTGTGAAGAGGAGTAGTTTCAACATAGTCTGCCAAATCAGCCCTGTGGCCTTGAAGCGCTTGAGAATAATAACCCTCATTAGAGTAGGAAACAGCATATATGAAGAAATGGTACAGTAGTGTTAGACAATGCTTTTAGAAGCATTTGGTTTTAGCATATAAGGTAACATAAGAAATTGCCACTACAACGTAAATGTAGAAATATAAAAGATGTGTGTTCTGTTTTATTCTCAATTTGTATATATGTATACAGTCATTAATTTCGATATCCATTTGTTTATTTAGTTATTTATTCCTGAAGTTGTTCGCGGCATAAACAGTGTTCCCTGACCGGGAATCGAACCCGGGCCGCGGCGGTGAGCGCCGAATCCTAACCACTAGAGTCTAGACCACCAGGGACCTCCAGTGAGCTAATGAGCTAACACATTTATTGCAATATTTAACATACCGTAGTATTCCTGTGTAAGTGTTGTTGTTTTTTTATTTTAATATTTTAAGGAAAGATAGTCTAAAGTCTCAATCTTTCCGGTAGCTTTTATATCATGTGACTCATTTACTCAAAATCAAGGCAGAATTGTTTTACTATAAAGTACAAATAATACATATTTTTAATTTGATTTCAGGACGTCTTCTTATGTTATGTGAATATTGAACACAACACTGTTGGTGAAGCAGGCAACCTCAGGAGTTATTCCTAACTACAAACGTGCACCTGTCCTCATCACAGCATACTAAAGCCTATTTGTCTGAAAATATGAATACACTTTTACCTTAGACATTACAGTGATGCCTTACAAACGTTAATATTTTCAAAAAAAGTGTTTAGCCCAGAAAGGGAAGTGTTAGAGCCATTTTACCTTTTGTTATTATTGTCTGAATGTTGGGCTTAATAATAATATAAATTAGATTATACTGTAAATTATTGGCTATTTTTGTGAGTCACATTATGGTTTAAAATGCATTAAGTTAAGGCTCACTTATTATTTGTTATATGTGCGTCAGTATCACGTGCATGGCTATGCCTATATATGGTAGGTTGATAGGACACAGCTGGGGGTGATAGACGGGGAAATGGAAAAGTCTTTTGACCGTGTTCTTTTTGTTACTTTGGAAAATGATACACTTTTGAGTTACTATGAAGCGAAGAAATGTGTCCTCCTGTATGCACCGTGTGGATCAGTGAATAAAGCTCATCTGATTCAACTACGATCTCCGCTGAATTGTTTGGAAACAAAGAGAGGCGCGTCAAAACCCACAACCCCGATAGAGGTGGCTATTAAATGGTAGACAAGGATTAAAACGCCACCACAATAGTCAAAAGACTCCGTAAACTGTGGATAAAGACTTCGAAGGACAAGCACAGGATTCGTGTGGATTCCAGCTCTGCTTTGGAAACAGCGAACGGACGTTCTAAAGTGCCGAGGAGGAGGCCGTGAGTAAACCACGCCGGCCCGGAACTTATGAATGAGACGCTGTTTACAACGGGATCGCTTCGTCAAACAATGCAAGTACTGATGTGTGCATACGGATGTTTGACAAAACGAAACTGGAAATCCATCCAGTGATATCCTGATGCTTACTGAAGATAATCCGCAATTGCTGTTGGAATGCTTAAACAATGAAATGCATTAACGAACTATCACGCAGCCAGGAAGCGGACGTTAAAGGAATATTTGGCACAAAAACAGGACTCGCGAAGAGCTGTTCTTGGAAATATTAATGACTTTATTTCATGTGGATTAAGTGAAGAAAAACTCAAATAAACAATGGATCCTGAAAAACCTCCAGCTGATGTTGCTGCGGCAGAGGAGAGATTTAAAACTCTCAGCCAATCGCGAAGAGGAAAGCTTGGAGCATGCACCCGCAGAATGAATGAAATTAACCCATTACTGGTGCGAGGTGGAGATGTGGAAAAGGTGGATGAAGCTGTTGCAACGTTCAAGATGTTACTCAATGAATTTATGGAATGTCATGGAATTGTTCAAATGCTTTTATCTGAGGAAATAAGGGAAACTGAGAGAATAGATTGGTATGAACCCAAAATGTCTGCATTCACGAATTTCCTTAAGGATGTGGAAACGTGGAAAAGCTCTCAAATGGATCCTCAGATACTGATTGAACCCCATGACAGTGTTTCCAATGCATCAACCAGGAGGAGCTCAAAAGCAGGATCAGCAACTTCTTCTGCTTCTTCAATCCACCTCAAAATGGCCACAGAAAGAGCTGCCCTCCTTGTCCGGGCAGCAGGATTAAAGGAAAAGCATGCACTTGAAATGGAAAAGGCTCAACTGCAAGCTCAACTGCAAGCTAGATCCGAACGGATAGAAATGGAAGTCAGCCTAGCTGAATCTGATGCAAAAATGAAAGTCCTGGAGCACTTTGAGACTGGTTCACAAAATCCAACACAAGAAAAATATGATGGCATGAATGACTATTTAAAGGACTACAGATTAAAAACACATATGTCAATGGATGCAGAGCCGTCTCCAATTTCCTTTGCTGAGTTCGGATCCATTCCCAAGACACCACTTCAAAGGCTTATACACCAACAACCAAGACCACCAGAAAATATTGATAATGCAAATCAAAGCTCTCAACAAACAGCTAGAGATGCAGGAATTACAGGGACAAATACTAATGACAATTTCCTGACTGTGATGCAAAGACAAAATGACATTGTTAATTTACTTGTACTTCAACAAAAACAAGCATCACTGCCCACTAGGGAAATCCCAGTCTTTGATGGCAATCCCCTGAATTATCAAATATTTGTGAGGGCATTTCAACATAGCATTGAGGAGAAAACCACCAGTAACCAGGATCGATTATATTACCTGGAACAATATACTTCGGGATCCTGCAGGGAACTGGTGAGAAGCTGCCTTCACATGGATGCTAATAGTGGCTTTGCTGAAGCTAAGAGACTGCTAAAAGTGCATTTTGGAGATGAGCTCAAGATAGCAAGCGCATATATGGGAAAAGCACTCAACTGGAACACTATAAAGGCAGAGGATGGAAAGTCACTGCACTGTTATGCACTTTTTCTGAGAGGCTGCTGTAATGCAATGAGGGATCTGCAGAACATGGAGGAGCTGGACCTGCCATCCAACCTACGGCTCATTCTTTCAAAGCTACCTTACAAACTAAGGGAGAAGTGGAGAACAGCAGCTTGTGATATTCTGGAGCGGAGCCATGAAAGAGCAAGATTACCTGACCTTGTTGTATTTATTGAAAGACAAGCTAGAATACTTCAAGACCCTCTCTTTGGTGACATTCCCGATCAACTTAACAGTACAAAGGCGGCTTTCAAGACCAAGACTCTTGTTGATCCATATCGAAATAAGAGCAAAGGGAGCAGTTTTGCAACCACAGTGGCTATAGTGTCAGACAGGCGTGCAGAGAAACTCAAAGAAGACAAATATCCTGTTAAAAGCTACATTTCCTCCACTAACAATGACACCTCATGTACTTTTTGTACAAGTAAACATCCTTTAGCTGAATGCCATAAAATACATTCAGTATCTCATGAAGCTAAAATTGAGTTTCTGAAAGAGAAGGGACTATGCTTTGGCTGCCTGAAGGTGGGGCACTTGAGCAGGAACTGTAACAGGAGAATGACCTGTCAAATCTGTCATGCTAAGCACCCAACTATTCTGCACATTAAAAGATCTTCAAAGCCTGAAACTGAGAACTTTAAACATGGTAAGGCAGAGCAGCAGAGTGGGGGAGCAAGGCCTGATGAGACATCCATCAGCAGTGCTCTTGTTTCAGTAGGAGAAGGTGAAGGAATCGGGGCTGGTAAAGACAGCATACTTGCCATAGTGCCAGTGAAGGTGAAACTCTGCCATGGAAATAAAAGCATACTGACCTATGCATTCCTGGACCCTGGTAGTACCGACACATTTTGCACAGAAGGGCTCATGAGGCGGCTTGGTGCTAGAGGACGGAGAACTGAAGTCCTTCTTCAAACGATGGGAACAGAGAAAACAGTCAGGAGTTTTGAGGTAACAGGTCTAGAAGTGGGACATATGGAAGATGGCACATATATAAACTTGCCCAAGGTTTACACTCAGAACAAAATCCCTGTTACCAAAAGAAACATTCTCACCCAGGCGGACCTCAAGAAATGGCCTTATCTGCAGGACATCCAAATAAAAGAAATAGATGCTGACGTGGGACTTCTTATTGGAGTAAATACTCCAAAGGCTATGGAACCATGGAGAGTTATAAATAGCCAAGGAAATGGCCCATATGCAGTGAAAACACTGTTAGGATGGGTCGTTAATGGTCCACTTAATGCTACCACAGATCTGGATGATGAAACCCCTGTGGCATTAGTGAACAGGATCTCAATTGTTCACCTTGAGAAGCTAATTGAAAGACAATATATTAACGACTTTCCAGAGAAAGAGTATGAAGAGGAAAGACAAATGTCAGCTGATGACCGAAAGTTCATGCAGATTGTATCAAGCTCGGTTTCTCTTAAAGATGGCCACTACAATTTACCTCTTCCTCTAGATAATCCAAACATTATCATGCCAAACAACCGCCAAATGGCAGAGCAACGAGCAATGTCACTAAAAAGGAAATTCCAGAAGGATCAGACCTATGCAGCTGAGTATAAAGGCTTTATGAGTGACATTATCAAAAAAGGATATGCAGAGAAAGTACCATCGGACGATCTACATGTGGAAAACGGCAAAGTGTGGTATATACCCCATCATGGTGTCTATCATAAACGTAAAAAAACGATCCGTGTGGTCTTTGATTGTGCATCATCCTATAAAGGCAAATCCCTCAACAGTGTACTCCTTCAGGGCCCTGACTTGGCAAACTCATTGATTGGTGTTCTACTCAGGTTCCGTCAAGAGCCCATCGCCATTATGGCAGATATTGAGGGGATGTTTCACCAAGTGCGTGTAAACGAGGAGAACATAAACTTGCTGAGATTCCTGTGGTGGCCTGAAGGAGAAACCAGCACAAATCTGGAGGAATACCGGATGAGGGTCCATCTCTTCGGAGCTGTTTCCTCTCCAAGCTGCGCAAACTTTGCATTGCGAAGAACAGCTGAGGACAACTGTGGCAAATTTGATGGAGAAGTGGCAGAAACAATCAAATCAAATTTCTATGTGGATGATTGCCTCAAGTCGCTAGCAAGAGAAAATCAAGCTATAAGCCTTATTAGGTCTCTCAGAGAAATGTGTTCCCTTGGTGGATTCAAACTGACGAAATGGATAAGTAATAGTCGAGTGGTGCTAGAATCCATCCCTGATGAAGACAAGGCTAAACAGGGGAAAAACTTGGATCTGGACAGGGATAAGCTGCCACATGAAAGAGCACTAGGGATGTACTGGGACATTGAAAATGATATATTCAGTTTCCGTGTGACTGTGAACAACAAAACCCTTACAAGAAGGAGTATACTTTCCACTGTCAGCTCTGTGTACGATCCTCTTGGTCTTCTCGCCCCTTTCATATTGAAGGCAAAGCAAATACTTCGATTACTCTGTAAAGCCCAATATGGATGGGATGAAGAAATTCAGGTGGAACTCTCAAAACCATGGCAGAAATGGCTCAAGGATTTAGACCAGCTGGCAAGATTCCAAATTGACAGGTGTGTAAAACCCAAGAACTTTGGAAGAGTGAAAACTGCACAGCTACACACCTTTTGTGATGCAAGTGAAGAAGGATACGGTACCGCAAGTTACCTGAGATTCACCAATGACATGGAGGAGGTACACGTAGCCTTTGTGATGGGAAAATCAAGAGTTACCCCACTAAAAGTCATGACAATTCCAAGGTTGGAACTCACTGCTGCTACATTGGCTGCACGAATGGACAAAATGCTCCGATCAGAGCTACAAGGAGAGCTTTTGGAATCAGTATTGTGGACTGACAGCCAGTCAGTACTGAAATATATTCGAAACAGGACTAAGAGGTTCCACACTTTCGTGGCAAACCGGATTGCCGTTATTCATAACCTCACAAAAGTGAACCAGTGGCGGTTTGTAGACACCAAAAACAACCCCGCTGATGACGCTTCAAGAGGACTGAGCATTGAATCCTTTTACAGTTCAAAAGGATGGCTTCAGGGTCCAGAATTCTTGAAGAAATCTGAAGCACAGTGGCCAAGTATTCCAAAAGAACTTGGTTCTCTCCTTCCAGATGACCCTGAAGTACGCAAAGAAGCGATTGTCACCAGCATTGTCACATGTAAGATGGAAAAAACTCCAACAAGTAAGCTCTTGGACTATTATTCTTCATGGAATGACCTAAAAAGAGCTGTTGCATGGATAATGAAATTAAAGACAATCCTCCTGCAGATGAGAGAAAAAAGAAAAGATGACTCCACTGATCTTGGAGCAAGGCAGGATAAACGAAAGAGACTGAAGGATCAGATGCTTCTGCTCAATATGCCTACAGCTAATGCACTAAGACTTTCAGTAGAGGACACAGAAACTGCTGAAAAAGCCATTATTTGCCACGAGCAGAGACAGCATTTCAAAGAGGAAATTGCCTTGCTGGAAAAAGGAAAACAGTGCAATAGAGGAAGCTCCCTATACAAGCTGGACCCTATCATTGATGCCGGGCTTCTGAGAGTTGGAGGAAGAACTAGAAAGATGGCTATGCCAACTGAGGTCAAACATCCAATGATTCTACCGAAACATTCTAATATCTCCAAGTTGATATTAAGCCACATCCATAATCAAGTTGGTCACTCAGGAAGAGGTCACATGCTCTCCAAACTCCATCAACGTTACTGGCTATCCGCTGCTAACTCTTCAGCAAGGAGGATCATAAAGAACTGTGTGTTTTGCAGACGCCTACAGGCTAGAGCTGGAGAGCAGAAAATGGCCGATCTCCCACTTGATCGAATAACACCTGATCTTCCACCTTTCACTCATGTAGGCATAGACTATTTTGGACCCATCGAGGTGAAACGTGGCCGAGCTCATGTCAAAAGATGGGGAGTAATCTTTACCTGCCTGGTAAGCCGTGCTGTCCACCTGGAAGTTGCCAGTCATTTGGATACAGCTGCATGCATAAACGCTCTTCGTCGATTCATCTGTCGTCGTGGCACAATAAAGAGCATCAGAACAGATCGAGGCACCAACTTCATCGGCACACAAAAGGAACTGGAGGAGTCTGTAAAACAACTGGATAACAACAAAATCAAGCAAACACTACTCAAAGAAGGAATTGATTGGACATTCAATCCCCCCTCCGGAGCTCACCATGGCGGAGTGTGGGAAAGGCTAATACGACTGGTTAAAAAGATCCTCCATTCTGTCCTGAAGGAACAAACATTGGATGATGATGCTCTGCACACAGCCTTGTGTGAGGTTGAGGCAATAATGAACGATAGGCCAATCACAACAGTGACAAACGACCCAAACGACCTTGAACCCCTCACACCTAATCACCTACTTCAGTTAAGAACAAATCCAATCTTGCCCCCAGGACTCTTTCAGAGAGAGGATCTGTACTCACAGAGAAGATGGAAACAGGTGCAGTACCTTGCTGACCTGTTTTGGAAGCGCTGGACCAGGGAATATCTTCCTTTGATGCAAGAACGGCACAAATGGAATACTATCAAAAGAAACTTCACCCCCGGAGACCTGGTCGTCATCATTGATGAGAACGCACCGAGGAACACTTGGCTCCTGGGACGCGTAGTTAAGACCCTTCCTGGTTCAAAAGGACTTGTTAGGAGTGTCCTGGTTAAAACCAAGACAAGTACGATCGAAAGACCCATAACTAAGTTATGTCTGCTCCTGGAGGCGACAGACTGAGCCTACTAAGCCTTAGCCTTTCAGTCACGTGCACCTCTGACTGTTAGACCAAAGGACTGGACTCTTGGTCTCCTACCCCCTCCCCATCAAAGGCTGCCTTTTGAACGCAGACCATTACAGACAATTAGTACTAGACCTACACACTCCAGTACTAGTCTTACATGGACTTGAAAGTATACAATATACATGGACTTGAAAGTATACAATATACTATGGACTTAAGTATACAAATATGCTACGGATGGACGTTATGTTTTGTTAAAATGACTCTGTTGATGTACTATTATTGGTAATTGCTATGTAATAAGCAATTAGGGGCTGGTATGTTAGAGCCATTTTACCTTTTGTTATTATTGTCTGAATGTTGGGCTTAATAATAATATAAATTAGATTATACTGTAAATTATTGGCTATTTTTGTGAGTCACATTATGGTTTAAAATGCATTAAGTTAAGGCTCACTTATTATTTGTTATATGTGCGTCAGTATCACGTGCATGGCTATGCCTATATATGGTAGGTTGATAGGACACAGCTGGGGGTGATAGACGGGGAAATGGAAAAGTCTTTTGACCGTGTTCTTTTTGTTACTTTGGAAAATGATACACTTTTGAGTTACTATGAAGCGAAGAAATGTGTCCTCCTGTATGCACCGTGTGGATCAGTGAATAAAGCTCATCTGATTCAACTACGATCTCCGCTGAATTGTTTGGAAACAAAGAGAGGCGCGTCAAAACCCACAACCCCGATAGAGGTGGCTATTAAATGGTAGACAAGGATTAAAACGCCACCACAGGAAGTCAGGTGAAATCTAATGTGTTGATTAGCTTCAATATATAAATATGCACTGCAATCTTTGGAATTAGAATTAGACAGAATCAAAATCAGAATTCCTGTGTCGGTCAAAATGTTCGGTATTACATCAGCAAAAGTACAGTACTGATTAAGTAAACAGACTAGACTTACATATTATATAAATATGTAAATAAACCCAATACGTAAAAAATAACAGATACACCATGGTAAAAAAACAAAGTAGAAGTATATATTTTGTGATCATGTAAGTAGCTGGTACTGTTTACATATTTTCAATACAGTGAAATAAAAATCAAGTGTAAATTGCACAAGGGTATATTGCAAGAGTCGATATTACACACAGTTTTTTATGTACAGGATACCAGTGGCGGCCGGCCCATAGGGGCGCTAGGGGCGCCGCCCCACCTCTTCCCACATACAAAGAAAAATATTTTTAAAAATATTAAATTAAAAAAAAAATATTTAAAAGTATGTGGCTTCTCACATGGCTAGCTGGATGCAAACGATGCAAACAGGTACATGCTATCTTTTGTTTCCCATGCTTGCTCTTCAAACAGCCGGGAACAGATACGATCTGTTCAGAAACTAGACACAAGTTACACAAATACAAACCACAGACTGTCTGTGTCATGGAGAATACAGTTGCTGGTTTATTTATGTCTGTATAGGCCGTTGTTGTGAGTGTGGACGGTCGGAGCATATATAACGTTAGCTTACCCAAGCTCCATTCAGAAAACAAGCATTCTAAAAGGTTTTTCGCCTGCCATCTGTCTGCAGACTTGTCAAAGCATTAATTCATGGTTTTTACAAACCGGTATCAGTATGTTGTTACGTCGGCATCATTTAGAAACGTGTATTACAATTTAATCACGGTGAAATATGTTCATTTTGTTGTAGTTGTAGCTCCCGAGCCAGCGCGTCTTGTTTGAATGATGCGAGTAAACACAGCTGGCAGCCGCGGTGAAACTCGAGCGACTAGAGTGATGCGATAGGAGCGTCGCGAATATTCGCATCGCGTCCGGTCTGAACGCAGCATTAAAGCGAGCTCCGCGCTGCACTGGAAACGCGCCATTACATCACCAGAAGTCCTAATTTAAGGGGTCATTTCTCCCACAAAAAAATTGTTTACTCACTATATCAACAGCCCCACCAAAAATATTTTCCACCAGCCGCCACTGCAGGATACTATAGTAATACACAGTCCAGTGCAATAGGGGGCGGTATGACTCTTGTTATTTGATATTAAAGGCTGGTCCACAGTGCACACCAGCTCAGTAGAATGAATGGAGACAGAAAATACATCTAGATTCGGCTTTTAGTGTATTTTACAACTTTAAGGACCTAATGATTATAATAAGGGCTATAACATAGTTCATACTGGGTAGTTTATTTAGTTAAACAAAAAGTATCCGCGCTGATTTACAGACGTCTCTTTCCCAATGTTAGTCAATGGGGAAAAGTCTTTCTGGACCCAGTGACGTCACGGACTGATACGGAAATTGTAGTACCGCCGTTTGGACACAACGAATATTTTCACCCGAGTGCGGCGAACTTCCTGGGGGCTTGGTGCACACACACACAGCTGGCAACAGAGAGCTGACAGTCAGGTTATCATAAAATGGCTAACGCTACGCTCCAGTCGTTCAATGTCTTCCTCACGGAGAGGTTAACCGCAGCTGCAGTGGACATCTACGGGTTCGTGGAGAAGACCATCGTGGACTACCAGGATGAAGTGTACCAAACCAAGCTGGAGAACCAGAGGCTGCAGAGGCTGCTGGATCTGGTCTATAAGCCGGAGATAAGGCTGCACAGAACAGGTATGTTTCTCAGTGTGCACCTAACCTTACTATACGCTATCATGGTAATTGTCCAGTAACGTTAATTAAAGCACAGAAGCTAACACCGTTTACAGTCTGTTACGTGCTTTCTATTTGCTACATTAAGCTACATTATGTTAGCAAGCAGTTTTAGCTAGCGTTACTGTTTTCCAGCTGAAGACAGTCAAAGAGAGTAAATATCCGGTCAATTTACATGAAGGCCTAGTATGATAATATATTTTATACGGGCAATTATAATTATTGGTCGTAGAAAGATGTACATTGGCCCTGAAGTGCAAGTCAAAACAACATTTCACAAAACACTACAACATTTCACAAAACACCACAGCATTTCATAAAACACCACAGCATTTCATAAAACACCACAGCATTTCAGAAAACACCACAGCATTTCAGAAAACACCACAGCATTTCATAAAACACCACAGCATTTCAGAATATGTATATGGTGGCCCTGAAGTGCAAGTCAACATGATTTATATTATGTACTGCATATAAAACAAATATATTTGTATATTTGAGGGATACCATGACCAAATTGTGTTAAATTGTACCGATCTAACAACAACCCATTTTATGAAATCAAACTCCACTTATAGTCTTGTTAAAGAGGTCATATTTAGGCAGGGGGATTATGAACCCTAGATTGTAGAACATTTGCAAATGATCTGGTGTAGCAAATAACATGAAAAACACCTTGAGAAGAGCCCAGTAGTATTGGCCATCCTGAGCCTGAATGGCCTTGACACCGTCACCAATGACAACGCTACTCTTGCAAGTAAGAAATTGAACAACAATGGTTCGTCAATGCTTACATTCATTGTTTGTCACATTGTTTTCTTCCAGGAATGTGTCCCTTTATATGATGTGGCTTATTGAAACTGCGTTTCTCTTTTGTGATTTCCTGTTTGTAATTCTAACCTGTGTACTTCCCGCTCATTTTTATAAGGAGTTTACGGTGACCGACAGGTGCAAACTGGCTGCAGGCCCAACACTTTTCAATTAGGAGAAATGTGCTGCAGCTGCAGAAACGATGCAAATATTAGAACACAAATGTGCCAAAACACATGGAAATTAAGAAAAGTCTTCACCAACTTGACAACACATTGAGAAAACATTTACCATTTGCATGTGCATATTTGTGTATTTTTATATTTGCATTGTTTCTAGAAGCTGCAGCGCGTTACTCCTAATGGGAATGTTTTAGGCCGTTTGCACCTCTCTGCCAACCTAGTCGTGGCTGGAAAAAAAGCGTGTTGGGATTGTGGTGAGAGAAGTTCAAGTCATTGACCTGAAGAGTGAAACAAAGCTTCACCAGTATTGAATCACACCTGGGAGTGTGTGTTTTAAATAGAGCTTACATTTGCCAAATTATTGTTGATGTATCAGCCATACAAGAGTTATCTTAGGTGCATGCCATATTGGAGGAATCAGAATTGTTGCTCACAAGTTGTCAACAAACACAGGAAAGTCATTCCCCTCTACCATACGATGTCAATCTGGAGTGCAAGCAACGCTTAGTTAGTAGTACATTTTTCTATGCCGTGTGATTGTGCGACACCTTGTAGGACAAGTAAATCATCTGCATTAAAAACACTTATAATAAAGAGGGTGACGGCAGTTTTACACAGACAATATTTGTAATGCCTTTTGAGTGTGGATCTGGTGGTTGTTATCATTTGCTCAGGTGCTTACTATGATGTGTTCTTCCTGTGTAGTGAATGATCACTTTGATTCCTTTAATAAACTACCTTACGCTTACTATCTATGAATATTAAAGAGGCCTAATTGAGAGCTTTCTTCAGATAGAAAAATCTCAGGTATGCAGTTCAGAATAGATGAATGTGTTTTCACCGGCTCACACGACCTACAATGTGTTCATACACGTGCAAAAGCACCGTGGCCCTGCAGATATGTTCAAAAAGCTACAAGCACACACAGATACTTTGTGTTGTTCATTGCAGTATTCTCTTGAACACCATGGGGCGCACAAAGAAAACATTCTTTGAAAAAGCAAGAAGTGAAACACAGAGGAAGAATATCATATTGTATTCATGGACTTACTTTATTGCTTATATACAATCACTGTAAGGCAGTGCTTCTCAAAGTGTGGTCCGTGAGCGCCCCCTAGTGGTCCGTGAGTATATTGGTAACATTTCACATTTGAAATTAATTAATTAATTAAAGTTTTCCGCACTCTCGCGGGAATATCTCCGCAATGGAGCGAGCTTAAGTTTAACTTTCGATCGCATGATATAGCCCAGATAAATACCTTCATCACGCATGTTGCCACTTGTTTGTACCATTTTCAGGCGATTTGTAAAAAACGATGTGTTTTTGGATATTTGTGGAGTTAGGTGGTCCTCGAGTGTTTTTTTTATTGGTTAAGTGGTCCTTGCTTGGTATGAAAAAGTTTGAGAAACACTGCTGTAAGGAAAACACAAGTATTTGGAACAGCAAATGTATTAAAATAAAAAAGAAGTTCCTGCAAATAGTTTATTTTGGTTCGCAGATTTGTGTTTTTTTTTTTAAAGCATTTAAAGATGAAGTGGCTGTTTCTTTCATCAGTTGTTCACCTGTATATGTTATGAATGACCCATAATGCAAATGTCCAGTAAACTAGTGAATCACACTTGAGAGACATGTACTCTGTGTCTTGTAATGTTTTTATAGACGTTCCCGCTCACTGTTTTAAAACCATAACTTGAATTATATGTCTCTGCTGCCGTAAGGACGAGCACCACGCCTTGGGATTAATCAAGTCCACCAATATAGTTTGTGTGATCAGAGAAGTGATTTTTTTAAGCTGCTACCAAAATCATTTTCCTATCCACTGTTACAGATTCAAGGCAGATCGAACTGCCCACACCGACACAGGAGGTTTTTGCTCAGGAGCAGCAAAAACACCTGCCCATTAAAGAGGAACTGACCGAGGCTGTGGACTCACCAGTACATCCGGCTTACAGCAGCACTACTGACACCCTCACTGAGAGGGTCACAGAAGGAGAGCATGAAGAAAATCAGATGCCAGACAATTTAATTCAAGTTGTGACATTTGCAGAGCACAGCCAATACGAAATGCCAGACAGCCTGAGTCGAGTTGTAACAGTCGGAGAGCACATGGATTATGACATGCCTTCACAGGATGACCAACCGTTACCATCCTTTGGAGTATCCCCGCTATGTACAAATAAGAGACCCTTTTTTTGTTGTAAAATTTGCTGTCAGTATTTCCTGAGACAAGAAGAGTTACAATTGCACCTCGCAGCTCATGCTACAACAAGTTCACCAACGTCCAGCGACAACAGGAGTGAAGCGATCCCCCACATGATAACGCACATAGACGAGAAACCATACGCCTGTCCCATTTGTGGTAAGGGATACAAGCTGAAAAGTCATATCAAAGAACACGTGAGGACTCACACTGGAGAACGGCCTTACCCCTGCTTCACCTGTGGGAAGAGCTTCAACAGATCTTCCAACATGACTAAACACGCCCGGATCCAACACATGGAGAGCATGCCTTTCAAGTGCATGCAATGCAGCCAGCGCTTTCCTGTGCTCGTTATGTTCAAACGGCACATGAAGAGGGTCCACTTGGTCAATATCTCTGTGTGAAATTCTGTAGCTACTGTAAAAGTTCAGAAGTTACTAGTGGTAAAACAAAATGAATCTAAAAGGATTTTTATTATCAATCAAAATGAGCTTTTTGCACACGCTGTTCATGTGTTTTCTGAAGGGAAGAGCAAATCTATATTGATGTTCACTTTTTGAATTAAAGCAAACCTTTTGATGAGGATCGGTTTTTTTATTTGTTAAAGGTGGGGTAGGTAAGTTTCAGAAACCGGCTCGAGTGCACTCAAATTTGAAAGTACACAGCCGAAAAGAATCCGCCCCTTCCTTCAGACTTTATTACGGAAATCTTAGACCTAGTCAATACTGTGGAGATACACAAGTAAGAATGATCAAATAATAAATGGTGAAACAAATTGAGTTGTCTTGTTGGTTATTTATTTGAAGCTTCAAAGGCACAGGTCTCACAGAGTATAGGATAGTCTGCAGGAGTGTGCGCAATAGTCACAAAATAGCAAAGCTTATATACAAGATAGGGCGGGCAGACAGAGTTTTGTGTAGCTAGGTTGAACGCCTTAGAAATCTGCTTTCACACGGATGTCTCATATTGTTATGGGAGTTCAAACTTTGTGTGAGACACCGGTGTCCTTGAGCCGTAGCAACTTTGTGTGAAAATGAATAGTTTCAACATAGTCTGCCAAATCAGCCCTGTGGCCTTGAAGCGCTTGAGAATAATAACCCTCATTAGAGTATGCAGAGAAAACAGCACATATCAGGAAATGGTACAGTAGTGTTAGACAATGCTTTTAGAAGCATTTGGTTTTACCATATAAGGTAACATAAGAAATTGCCACTACAACTTCCTTACAGAGCACCTCCTCCAACACACATGAACGCGCAATGCACGCCCAATGAGGGCACGAGATACATTTGTGCGTGCACAAGATGGAAGGCTGACAGACAGGGCGGCAATCCAATCCGTTTAGCTGGGCCGGCTAAACGGATTGGATGTACTTTTTACAGTACTACGGGTTCCACAGATTGTTTTTTATGGATTTTTTGTCAAAGCACTTAAGATATTCATTGCTATCGGGATGTTAAGAGCATTCCATGGAATATAACAAAAAGTGTATCTCGAGCCGGTTTCTGAAACTTACCTACCCCACCTTTAAGTTATAAGGCTCAAATGAAATAGAAAAGTAATGTAGAAGTGACAGATGCTAGTGAGCAAGCTGCTGGTCGCATCAACATGGATGCTAATTGTTGACATGTGTGCAATGGACTTGAAACTTTAACCAAAGATGTCCTTGAGACGGTATGAATTGACTTTGAAGGTTTTGCATAGCAAAGTCAGTTTGAAGGTTGGGAAGAAGAAACCTTTAGCCTCCAGGGTGAGCAGTGTACATTTTGATAAATCACCTCCAGTGACTTAAGACTACAAGTCTGAAAATGATCAAATCTGGATGTGCAGAGTTGGAAAGTGTCTGTTTTCTGCTCCCATGCATCTGCTTAAGGCTTGTGGCTCAAGGCTGCTACCAGCATCAAACATGACCTAACTGTCAAAGCATAGAGTTGCATTGTGGGTAATGGAGTGTTGTTAAAACATAATACCTTTAGTTCTGCTGCTTTCTTTAACTTGCTGTTCAATAATCAAACAGTTCTTTACTCGGATTTTTGTTTTAGTCCGGCCAAAGTTTTTGAAGACCAATATGTTTGAGATTGTTGATGTGCTTTTTTTAAATTATGATTTCATAGTTCGATTTGCAGTAACCTGTATTTAAGGTTTGATATAAATAGTTTGCTTGATTGTTTAAACATACTTTAATAATAGAAGACCCTGAAATGCATTTGCTAATTGATTATAATTCATTTGTTTGTGTTGCCTTAACAAAACATTGATACTATGCCGGCTATAGCAACGCTTCAACGCAGCAGGACTGTGTTGAAGATACATGTGCTCTGTGCTCGATGAATGTATTGGAAAATGTTTCAGCTTGACAGATTACATATACATTACTACCTTTCACAAACTGTGTGTACCATGCTTGTACTAGATTGTCTGTGTGTTGAGAATAAAGACGGACTGTTAAAACACTCCACTTTTTGTTAGTTTGAGCAAAATGACATGTGGGTGAAAACTGTGTGCTAAGAAGATCAAAAGCTTTTTTGGCATGTGACTGAGAACGCTAGAAGGGGGGTTCAAGGCAACACATTTTCTGTAACCAGATACATCACATCCTTTGAATGGCTCCTGAACTTAAAAAAGTAATTGATTGTTTTGGTGTAACACAAGAAAAAAAGGCCTTTAATTTTGGGCCTCTTCTGTGGTTTTCCCTCTTGACTGTTTTTTCCCTTCATGAAGTTGATGTGCTCTGAGGCAGCTGATCTCAAAGGTAACAGTCCAGAATGGTGTGGATTCATGGCATCACTATTTTTGCAGTGGCAACCTTGATGCGTGCTGAGAGTGTAATGTGTTTCCGTTTCCTCCCTTGCAGATACCAAACAGCCAACTACACTGCCACCTTCGGAGGAGACGCTACCCAGACAGCCGGAGTGGATCCCCGGGGTGTGCCAGGATGAACCGGGACCCTCCCAGATTAAAGAGGAGGAAGAGCAGCAGAAAGAGGAACTGTGGATCAACGGGATCAACGAGCCACCTTCAGCAGACGAGAGCGATGACGGCGACGCCTTGACGAAAGAACTCATAAAAACGGTGCAACAGTTAGAAGACTGCAGAGCCGCAGAGGAGGGCAGAGAGTCAGAGCCGGCCCCTGCAGAGGATCCAGAACCCTCTGAAGAGAAGACCAGCACCACCTTGTACCGCTGCCACATATGCAACTACATATTCACCAAGAAAAGTGTGCTTACCTGGCATCTCAAGACGCACGAAAGCAAGTCACATGACAGCAAGGGGAACTTTGACTGTCACATATGTGGCAAACACATACCCTGTCAGAGCAATCTGCAGAACCACATGAGAGTGCACACCGGAGAGAGACCCTACAGCTGCCATTTCTGTGGCAAGTGTTTTAAACTGAAAGGACACATGACGGAACATATAAGAACTCACACAGGAGAGAAGCCTTTCAGCTGTCACATCTGTGACAAATCCTTCAACAGAGGTTCAACTCTGAGAAAACACGTTTTAGCCAAACATAAAGAGGAGAGACCGTACAAATGTGGGGATTGTGACGAGTTATTTACAGAGAGGCTGCTGATGAAGAGGCACATGCGGAAAGTACACGGAGTCAAACTGTCCACGAGTCAAAGTCCTGCAGAGCAGACGCAATGATGCCGCATGTTGCGTACAGTCCAGAGTCATAACGACTAAGGCTACATATCTTTTAAAATGTTTGGATACTAGCTCCATGGAGTTTGGTCCCAATACCAGAACCTTTTTTTCAAAGTTTGGCTTTTTTGGATTGTAATTGCGGTACACTACAGATTCCGTTTTTGTTGTTGAAGCAAATGTCAATGTTGTCTAATATAAATATAGCCATACAAGAACTTTAGGAAAGCTCTTTTGCTTTCTTGCCAAAAGTTAGTTGAGTAGATGTAAGGAGGTGAAAGCTGAGCTTAAAAACTGAGAGCAGATTAGCCTGGTTCCATTTCAAAGATCAAAAATACACCTTGTTTAGAAAATAATGTATTCCATCAAGGTATAAAATATATTTATTATATTACAACATATTTAAAAGATAGCGTTAGAGGTGCTGATTGGTGTATTATTGAACTTTTGACAGACCCAAGCTAGCTGTCTATAGTTTCATCCATTCCTAATGCTAAGCTAGGCTAACAGTTACCTGGCTCTAGCTCCAAGAAATGCACACACATAGAGGCCCATTAGATAAACAAATACAAACATGTATATAGTATACACTACAGACAATGTAGCTGATTGTATTCTACAGAGTCCCAATGACTCTTCATGCTTCAGAACACTGGAGGATTTAAAGTGCTGCCTGTCTGAAGTTGTTCATTACTAAACTTCATATGTGCTGAACATTAAGATACTATTTTCCATTTCTTCTGTTTTCATTACCTCTCGTAATCATTCATATGAACCTTAAGAATTGTATTGTGTGGCATAAAAATGATAACCGATCAACCATTTAAATTCAATTGTGCATCATAACATTCACAATGGTGGTACCTTATCTGTTAACTCGTGACATAGTGTCTATGTTGTACTGTAAAGTTGTTTTATATATTTATTGATATTGTATGTTATTATTATTTGTATTTGCCACAGTCCAGTTCAGTATTATGGCGTGTTGTAAAACCAGCTACATGAACGTGAAATGTAAAAGAAACAGTCAGTTGTTAAAGTATGGCAAAAACTGTATCACTTGCGTTGTTTTTCCTTTTCTGTGTCACATATAAGTGAAATGTAGCTGTTCAGGAGTAAAACTAGTTTCAGAAATAATGACATTACATACAACTGCTTTGGATAATTAGAGTTAGATTTATTGAAGATGATCTCATCAGCTGTAACAACTGTAAGCAAACACTTGCTCTTATTGGCAGTACAAACAGTGGTTGTGTGTGTCAGTAGGGAGGAAATCATTTTGAAAGATAAGAAGGAAAACTACGTCTTTTAAGAGGGTATACTATTCTAAATCTAATATGTTCTTACCCCTACCTGCAGAGGCAATGCTGCTCTGTTGCCCGGACAGAGATCATCAGACTCTGGATTTTAATTCTCTCACCTCAGTCACCAAAGGAGACCGCTCAAATGACAAGCAAATAAAGGTGATTGGGTAGGATGTGTTATCAGTCTGCAGGGGGCGCGTGTCTGCTTCAAATGTCTGAGTGCAGGAGAGACTCAGGTTCTCGTAGATGCAGCAAAAATAAAGTGTGCGTGTGGTTGTGTGTGTGTCTTTGTGTGTATGAGCCTGGTTTGTCCCTGGCTGTCAAAGATTGCATAATGCAAACCCCAAAGTGGTTCTGCTGCATTTCAGACATGATTCTATGGATCAAAGAAAAAAATAAGAGTGCAAATCTGTAGCTTTATTTACTGTACACGTTATGACTAAGGTAAGGTTTACCATACTAATTATTGTTGCTAGTGTAGAAAGATGTTTTCTTTCTTGTTGGAATAATATTACTTTGTTATTTTGGACTTCAAGAATTTCTAATTTTAATACATATTTTATTTATCACACTTGATTTTTGTATCAACGTTTTATTTTGAGCTATTGTAAATGTAAGTTCCTGCCTGTAATACATATAATACTAATATGTTTAATAGTATATTGCTGCCCTCTAGCTGCAGCTGTGGCAGCCTACAAGTAATTTAAATGATACAACTAATTCAAATTAGTTCAGATTCAATGAACATTTATTTATCTTCAATCCCAAATACATTTTTTTAATTCAAAGTATTATATTACCGGGACATAGAGTGCAGTGCATTTAATCTGAATGAGCTTTTTCTTTTGATCAATGAGTGCATCTGAAATAACAGACAAGAATAACGACCCAGATTTATAAAATAACAAATGAGTTCCCTCCAATGACAACAAATGAAGGCGTCACTCCTCTTTGAGGAGACCATTCCCCGCCTGTCTATACTAAACCACACCCCCCATAAAAAAAATCCGCAGAAGACTCGGGCTTTTCCGGTTGGTCTCGGAATCAGAGCCGAAAGTCCCTGACTTTACGCGCGGGGGAGACGCATCAATCGGGTCTTGGCTTGAGGTTTTACATTGTTTACATCCAATCAAACAAGTAAGAACAAAAGAAGCCTGCTGTTGAAATGGATACCGCCGATCAGGTGAGTACATCTGCAAATTGCGAGACTGCTTTTGGCGCAGAGATGTGTTTGATGATGGGCTAAATTGGCCAATGTGTTAATTGGTGACAGAAATTACCATTGTATCCTGTGTCCCCATGCAGCTTGCATCTGCGGGCACGTTTCATGTGCTGAAAATACCTCTGGGATTTATCCGTGTTTTGGAATGGGTGAGTTTTGATGGTTATTGCATGAAATAACTTATACTGTGTAGACTACATGTTATTAAATGATATAGTGAATGGTGTGATACATGTCCTTAAGCGATGATGTTATTACTATCTGCTTTTGACTTCAATTCCTTCATATCTCTTTGCTGCAACTTCAACTTTATCGCATCTGTTGGCTTTTAGGTGCCTTTATATTATTGTTTACCCGCATCATCTCGGCTTTTTTTATTTTTACCATGACTAAATGGCTCAATATATGTACGGATTTCTAGCTCCTTGAGACCTACACGCCAGGGGGAACCGCCATAGCTTTTAATGATGCGTCTTTTGGATGTGTTATGCCAACCCTTCACGTTTTGCGCCTGTCCACCAAAAATGCATAATTTTAGCCCAAGTGGAATGATATAACAGTGAGTCAACAATGAGTACGGGGTGTCCTAGCTCTCAGTGAATCAAAGCTGTCCTACCTCTTTCTGTCTGAGTGTATTCTCCCATGTTTAGTGTACAGTGCAGAGAAGCCTTAAGGCAATGAAGAGATAAGTGATTTTCTTTGATGTGAGTTCAGAGAAATTACTGTAACCAGGGTATTCAGCTAGTGCACAGATATGATGTGTAGACTGTGTGTGTGTGTGTGTGTGTGTGTGTGTGTGTGTGTGTGTGTGTGTGTGTGTGTGTGTGTGTGTGTGTGTGTGTGTGTGTGTGGTGTGTGTGTGTTTTACAGTTTATAAATGCAATCAAATGTGCAAAGAATCCTCAAGCAGAAGGGTACATCCCTAAATAAAAACAAATATGATTTTTGTGGCATGCAAGTGGGTGGTGTGTGTGTGTGTGTGTGTGTGTGTGTGTGTGTGTGTGTGTGTGTGTGTGTGTGTGTGTGTGTGTGTGTGTGTGTGTGTGTGTGTGTGTGTGTGTGTGTGTGTGTGTGTGTGTGTGTGTGTGTGTGTGTGTGTGTGTGTGTGTGTGTGTGTGTGTGTGTGTGTGTGTGTGAGGGAGGTTAAGGGCAGCATGTGTGTGATTCTGTGAGCATGACTGCACTCTGTAACATTCATATTGATCCAGGGATCACCTGCTGATCACTCTGATGTACGACGCGATGCAGGCTTTAATTAACTTGACATTTTTCCACTTCCCCTATACACGCACAAATAATCCTCGTCATCACACCTTCACAACACAATTATAAAACAGACCTTTTCCTTGCAGTGCCTTCCTTATTTTCTCACCTCACCAGCATCTCTACCTCTTTGATGGCCATGTGCAAACAAATCAAACTACAACACGGGGGATTTATTCTGCAGCGCCAACAGCGGTGTTGTGTTTTAAGACGGTACCAGAGAGAAAAGGGATCTCCCAGAAAGTTGGTCTCAGAATGATCTCTATTTTTTCAGCCTACATCTGGAGTATAGATGATGTAACTATTTGCCCTCAGTTGGCCAATCTCTGACTCCACTGAGCACACTAGAAAGGGGACTAGGAGGACAGAAGTATACTGTTAGTAGAATGTTTATATTGGACAATTCTGCAAAAATCCCAGATTGTGTTCTATCAACAACGTTTTCTTAACATCCATTGCCTTCAGCTCACCTTTGGCTATGTTATGGTTTGGGTTACTAAAAATATGGTTAATGTTGCGACATAATTCCAAATAAATCAGATATTTCAGTCTAAACTTGGCTCACTGCTGTGCTCTTCAGAATAGTCCATACTGAAGTTAGGCTATTTTAGCATTTGGCTCCTTCAGTTAAAGTCAAGAAAAGGTTTTTAAGGTTATTTTGATTGCAAATCTGCGATAAGATGCAATCTCTGGTCTCCCAGAGTAAAGTCACATATGTTTTACATTGTTACATAAAGGCCACACCACTTCCTGCACTTTATGTTGGATTTGGATAAATTGTAGAAATGTCAAATATTGATGTAATTGATGCTAGACTGGGTTTTCAGACTCCCATGACTCCCATGAAAAAAGCAACTGAGATTTAGACCACGTTTTCAAGAGAAACCTGAGAATAGGAAAAACCCAGTATCAAGAATCATAAAAACCACAGATTATAAAACTTTAAAATCTCACAGTAGAATGCAAGACTCAAAAACTAACAGGAACATACAAAAACAATATCATCCTCATACCTCCTGTGCTTCTGGCAATCACATAATTAATCATCAAAAAGGCCCAAAGTGAAATTCTTCCCAGGTTATGACACCAGTAGAAACACACGCTTGTCAGTTTGGTTTGTTTACATGCCCTGAGGCATTAAAGGCTGTAGTTAAGGCAGCTATTGACATTTACTTGGCTTATAGTAATGAACCCTACACTGTGTGGCTGACTTTTGTGGACAAACAGACGTTGGTTTAAAGGTTTACTTCAGTCAGCATAGTTGTGGCATAGTAGTATGTTTCCTGAATCTTCAGTCAGTGAGTCTGCACAAGAGCGAGGCAAATTAATATTATCAGCCATGTCTGCAGGAGATTCTAGAGGATGGTTTTGTGTGTGTGCGTGTGTGTGTGTAGCTCTTGGCCTGTGTGGCACACTGTCAGTGGATGGCATATTCCGCTCCAAAACAGCTGTAAGGTCCCCTCCTCTCCACCATGGACCAAGTCATGCAGAAGCTGTCCTTTGAGATGTGCTCAAACTATTCACTGCATGTGTGTGTGTGTGTGTGTGTGTGTGTGTGTGTGTGTGTGTGTGTGTGTTTCTTCATGTGTGTGTGAGAGAGAGAAAGATGGGAGGAGAAAGGGAACAAAATCGTACAGTTGATTGAGCACATGATGCAAATTATATACATGCCTTTTTTATGCACCGGTGCATCATCATGGCTGTTCTGTTATCTCACACGGGGCACTTTTACAAGTTGTATAATCAGCATCTTCCTGAAATGCAGCCAAACTCTAATGCTAATGATGAGTCACAAAGAATGAGTCGTCATGAGTCTAATGTAAGGGTCCTCGTCTCATTCGAAACCCAGGACTGACCCACTGTCCTGTGATGTCATCCTCACTACTTCACTGTACACCACTTTACCACCAACAAATAGGAACTAGGTAGCAATATCGTAACAGTTATTATCTATGAAAACATGTTGGTTTGTTTTCATAGTATACCATTAAGAGGTGTATGGGGAACAAGAAATCAAAATGTAGACTTTAATAAAATTAGTAGCACACAATTGACCGATATAAAGTATTCTAAATAATTGTAGTGGATTAATCAATTAGTTGAATGAAAGAAAATGTATCACCAACAATTAATCTATTTAAAATGTTTAAACATATGTTAGTTTCAGCTTGAGGTGTGAGGATGTGCTGCTTTTCTCAGTTTTGTATCGTTGTTAAGTGAATATCTTTGGGTTTCGATGGATACTTTATGACTTTACGTTGGTCCCTGGGGAATTATGATGGTCATTTTACCCCATTTCTAAATGTTTGTAAATTAAAAGATCAAGGACTCGCTCTCTTTAGCTAGAACATGTGTTTCTTGCCATTTTTCATGAATCTTAGTTAGAAACAAAGTCAAACTGATAATACATGTGTATAGTTTGCTGTAGGGCTGCTCAATTAATCGTATTTTAATCGCAATTAGGATTTTGGCTTGCAACGATTATGAAAACAACATATTCGAAATAAAACGATTTTTTTATTTTATTTTTTTTATTGGTTTTTCAGTTGAATTATACTTAATGTTCAGGGTAATCAACTGTTAAAAACATACTGTTCACATTTATCTTTTCAATAAATGGATGTTTTCAAAGTAAATGGATAATCGTTTTTAATAATCGTGATATAAATTATTGACCCAAATAATCGAGATTATGATTTTTGCCATAATCGAGCAGCCCTAGTTTGCTTACTTCATTACATCCCAGAACTGAACATATCCTTTGCAAATGATCTGGGAGTCAAAGCTGTCATGCATAGTATGTCGGTGATTGTTCTCATTAATATGAAATACCTATTATTAGGTTTGTCTCAAGAAGGCATAACATCGACATCTGTTACTACTCGGATTAATGCAGACTGAATTTGTATTGATGATGAATTACAGATTGGGAGTGGATCACTAGAACAAATTAATACTAGTTATTGCCGTTGTGAGCCTGAATGAGATGGGCCAGCATTTCTCTGCAGTCCTGGATATACAACAAAGCCTTACATGAATAAAATAAAAATAAAACAGATTTTGTTTTCAGATTGGCAAAATAAGATGCTCGGTTTCTTTTTTAAAAATGTGTCAAAAGTTCCTTTCCTCACCCTCTCTTTGTTTCTCTCTCTTTCCTCCATTGCTTTATTGACCTTTCACCTTGGTAATGTGTTACAGGTTGTGACAGATTGCGGCACAATATTCATGATAAACGTTTGTGCGGGATCATAAGCCCACACACGAAAGGAAAACAAGTGATGAAAGGGGGATGACAGATATCACAAGAGACTTGCCAGGTCAAAGATCTGGTTTCCAGCTCTAAAATCACTCACTTTGACAAGGGGAATTAGAGCAACAATGACAATGAGACTTTTGCACACCTTCCTTAATAACTGTCACACATGTCAAACGTTGGTGACATCTACCAAAACCCATATCATTCAGTCAATATAATCTAAGAAGGTCTGGTATCTTCTAATGTCTCTGATCTTTAAATATTTTATGTCTAATGATACAAACTGCAATTGTAATTCTACTAAAGCTAAGGCTTGCAAAGCTGATTATTAATAATGGATCCAATTCTTACATTTGATGTGAAATGAGTCGCTAATTGTGACAAACCCCTTTGCCTCTAATTTTAGCGTTTTTCTGCGCGTTGTTTTGGTCACATGTCAGCAAAAAAAACGAAAATACAGCGGTTTATCAATGTTAGCAACTAGCCGTTGAACATTAATCTTTTAGGAGTTGGTACCTTAAAAAAAACGCTCAGAGGTAAATGAGTATTGGACCTTAATGTCAGGTGGTGAGTTTAGAAGATGAAATAATGTTCCCACAAGTATACCCAAACCCCAAAAAATGCTGGTTT